CGAGTTAATGGGTGAACAGGTCAAACGGGTATTCATTCTCCTCCTCCCGAGCACAGCAGGCGTGATCGGTCCTGTGCCAGGTACCACGGGGAGGCAGAGATGAATGAGATGGGGTCCTTGAATCCGAGGCTCTCAGAGTCCAGCATGTTGCTAAGCTGTGTATAAGTTTCTCCTTCTACAGCACTGAGATTCTCTGAAGGGCAGATGCTCTGGGAAGTAACCCAAACCTGCTGCAAAAATAGAAATAGAGCCTTGTAGTGTGGCGTCCCTGAGATTTGGGGGGTGTTTCTTACACAGCGTAGCCCAGCCTTAGCCTTGCCACCTGATAAACCCAGACTTGACTGAAAATAAGACTGGCCAGAGGTGGTTGTGAAAACCGAGGTTTCTGGGCTCCATCCCAGATTCCTGAATCAAACTTTCCAGGGTGGAGGCCTGGCAATCTGTATGTGTAGCCAGCTTTCCCCCCAGCTTCAGGAAGGTCAAGAAAATCCCAACAGCTAAACTCTGAAAGAAGAGGAGGAGTTGGGTTTGGAAATATGAGAGGATAGGTGCGCCGGGGTCAGGAACACCCCGAGGAAGCACATGGGACTGCGAAATGCAGGGACTGGAATCAGGGTACATGAGGATGGTGGTGTGCCCAAAAGTGGGGAGTCAAGTTAGAAAATCTGAGCCATGGGGAGCCAGGGAGGTTCTGAACAGGGGCTGATGCTTTAGAAAGGCCACGCAGGCAGGAGACTGGACAGGAGGTGGGTGTGTGGTCCAGGCATCCCACCTCATAGAGTTCTGGGGTGGACTTTAAGTGGTCATGGATGCACTTAGTTCAAAATCATGGAACAATGAGAAGAATTACCGTTGTCACATCGTGTGTCTGTGTTCATCTTTAGAACAGTAGTCAGATTTAAATTGCACACCTTTCACTCATACATTCGTTTAACAAATACATGTTTATTGAACACTAGAGGCCCGGTGCATGAAATTCGTGCACAGGGGCGGGGTGTCCCTCAGCCTGGCCTGCACCCTCTCCAATCTGGGACCCCTCGGGTGATGTCCGACTGCCGGTTTAGACCCGATCCCTGCAGACATCCCTCTCACAATCCGGGACCGCTGGCTCCTAACTGCTCGCCTGCCTGCCTTCCTGATTGCCCCTAACCACCTCTGCCTGCCTGCCTGATTGCCCCTAACTGCCTCTGCCTGCCTGCCTGATTGCCCCTAACTGCCTCTGCCTGCCTGCCTGATTGCCCCCAATTGCCCTCCCCTGCCGGCCTGATCCCCCTAACTGCCATCCCCTGCCGGCCTGATCCCCCTAACTGCCTCTGCCTCAGCCCCACCCCTGGGGCTTGGTCCAGAAGGATGTCCGGAAGGTCGTCCGGAAGATGTCTGGTCTAATTAGCATATTACCCTTTTATTAGTATAGATCTACTATGTGCCAAGTGCTTTAGTGCCACTGGAAAGCCAGCAATGAACAAAACAAACGGAAATGCCTGTCTTCATGGAGCTATTTTCCTTGTCTGTATGCCTGGGTAAAGGTGTGAGGGAATATGGCATCCACTCACTCAGCCACTTAGATTTTTAGTGAACATGTACTTTGTGCCTGACCTTGTGTTGGTTGTTGGGGAGAAGCAGGCATGAGTCAGGCCCAGTCTGGTCTAGTGGGGAAGCAGCCTCAGCCCCCACCTCATAACACTGTCTGCCTGGACTGCTGGGAGAGGCTTGAACTGGGCTTTGAAAGTGACCATCAGAGAAGGGAGGAAACAGGGTACCAAGCAGAGGAAATGGCACAATGACAGACTTGGAGGTATTTGGGATCTGGGACTCTTTGTGTGGTTAAGGCCTTGGCTTTGTGGCACAGGGAAGGACGTAGTGGGAGAGACGAGGTGATGGTGGTGTGAGTTCAAAGGCCAGAGAAGCTCCTGAGTGTAACAGGGGGCGGTGGGGGGCACGGAGTTACGGGTGCGGAGGGTGGATATTATCACATCGGTTTGGGGACGTCACGCTAGCAGCGGGGATGAAATATAATGTGAAGGAAAGAGTCCGCAGGTGGGAAGACCAGAGAGGAGGCTTTCCCTCAGGCCCAGGGGAGAGCAGATGAGGGCCTAGACTGACCCACGGTGGTTGCAATGGAGAGGACCCAGGAGGCAGCTCCGGATTTGGCCACTGAGGCGAAGCTGTCACATTGTGGTTTCTTCACCAGAATGGGCTTTGTCACCAAAGAATGCAAGTGAGACTCAGCTGAGTGCCCTGCACCGTCCCTCCGCGAGGTCAGGTGCCGGGGCTGCTGTGGAAACTAGTACAAATGTAGTCCCAGAAGATGAACTCTTATTGATACCTCCTCAAGCGTGTGAGGTGTGCCCTGGCCAGTGTTGCTCAGTGGTGAGAGTGTTGGCCCATGTACCGAAGGGTCACGGGTTCAATTCCCAGTCAAGGGCACGTAGGGTTGCAGGTTCAATCCCTGGGCCTGGTCGGGGTGCGTGCAGGAGGCAACCAATCAATGTGTCTTTTTCACATTGATGTCTCTCTCTCTCTCTCTCTCTCTCCCTTCCCTCCCTCCCTTCCACTCTCTCTAAAGATCAATGGGAAAAAATATCCTCGGTGAGGATTAACCAAAAAAAAGGAGAGTGCAAGGCGAGAATGTTGAAGTGAGAGGCTGGGCCTTCTGACCAACCGTGGACTTTTTGCCATATTGGCCCTTCCTTGTCCCTTCCCACCTTTGTTTATTTGTATCATTTATTTAACTTACATTTTAGGTCAAGTGGGAAAAAGTGCAGTGAGAGCCCCAGCCCTGGCCTTTCCTAGCCTTGTGAACTTGGGTTCCGTATTTAACCATTCTGAGCCTCAGTGTCCCTATCTGTACACCCCGGACAAGAGCAGCAGCTGCCGTAAAGGAGGGAGGGTTATGGGAGCTACTCAGCATTGCACCTGGGACAAGGTGGATGCTCAGATGGGTAAGGGAAGGTGCTGTTTGCTTTGAGTGTCAGGAGGGACAGAGGTGCCATCGCTGCTGGGGAATGCAGGAAGAAGCACTCGGGGAAGGCGCGGCCAGCACCGTGTGGCGGTTCCGACATCGAAGCCTTGGCCTCGCTCACTAGCATTGCCGATGGACCATGATCACACCGTTTGCCTCTGTCCTTGGTGCCCAGCCCAGGGCTCAGGCGCGCAACAGGTGCTGCCTTTGAGGAGCAGGATCGGGCTTGCGCATTGATGTCAATATTGTAGACATGTAGACACACAGCCGAGCCCGGGGAGGTGAGAGGGTAAAGAAAGAAGATGGGATGGGGCCTGGGGAACCCCGCTGTTGAGGGGTGTGGGAGAATGGAGGGGTCTGGAAGGAGGATGAGAAACAACATCCAGAGGTTTGTGTGTGTGTGTGTGTGTGTGTGTGTGTGTTTTGGGGGAGGGGGGGTAGAGGCAGGAGACAGGCTGGGAACTAAGGAGAGGGTTTAAAGAAGAGCCCTGGCTGGTTTGGCTCAGTGGATAGAGCATCGGCCTGTGGACTGAAGGGTCCTGGGTTCGATTCCGGTCAAGGGCGCATGCCTGGGCTGCGAGCTCAGTCCCCAGTAGGGGGTGTGCAGGAGGCAGCCAATCAATGATTCTCTCTCATCACTGATGTTTCTCTCTCTCCCTCTCCCTTCCTCTCTGAAATCAATAAAAATATATTTAAAAAAATAAAGAAAGAAAGGAGAGAGAAGTCATCAGGGTCATACGTCCCTGAAAGATCCTGGAGGATAAGGCCTGACAGGTGATGGATGGATTTGCCATCAGAGAGGTCACTGGTGCTTGGCAAAAACAGGTTCAAGGCCTGTTGGGGCCAAAACCCCATTACAGGAAGGAGTACAGGGGTGAGGTCAGGCTAAGACATGGAGACAGGAGAGGAGAGGTGGGCATCAAGGAGAGGGAGGCCGGTCCTGGATGGTCAGGGGCATCAGGATTCCCCTCCCAATGTGGATGAATTTCCCTTTTAAAAGGCAGATCTATCTAAAGGTCGGCCAGGAGGTCTGCTTAGGTAGTGAGCATCCCGTCCCTGGAGGTAGACAAGCAGAGCTCTGAGACTCCCTGCTGCCCAGGGACTCACACTTGGAGTGGGAAAGGCTGTGCAAAAAAAAAAAAAAAATGCCCCTTGTCCTTCTCAGCGAGGCTTGGCTGATTCCTCACATCACAAAAGCCACCTAGAGGGTCAGCCTTGCTATTCTAGTGTCCAGAGAGTCTCCTGCAGGGCCACGCGCGCACCAACTCACACACACACACACACACACACACACTCACACACACACTCACACACACTCACACACACACACACACTCACTCACACACACACTCACACACACACTCACACACACACACACACACTCTCACACTCACACACACACACACACACACTCACACACACGCACGCAGAGGGGTCGTGCACAGGCTCACACAGATACTCCCAGACACAAAACATAAAATCTGTCCGTCTCGCCCGCTGTCAGGCATTCACAGCCCTCTCCCAGGACGTCCATCCTCTCACCCTTCTTGCTGCCGCTCCGCCCCGCCCCCGCCCCCCTCCCGGGCATCTCAGCCTCTGCT